TACAGCTACTGTCTTGTATCTTAAAAACTGCAGAGTCATAAGATGTTTTTGGTTGATTTCGACCAGCTCGCCATCTGGTCTTGTCATTAACCTTTATCAGTATATGTCATGACAACCACTGTCAAACTGACTGAAATATAAATCATGATACAACGATCAATTCAGCGTAATCTAGTCACTTGCACAGAGAATGGTAAACCTTCCAGTCCGTAAACGCAAGCACTAAATTCGCACATAATCTAACAATATGTATCAACTATGAATGAATAAGCTAGTTTTTCGTTTCGCGGATTAGGGTCGTTTGAGGACTGTACCACAATTTATTAAAGTTGAGGTATTTATATATGTTGTGTCGTTCAAAATGTGTACATACTCTGGCCGTAGGTTTGTCAGGCACGAAGCATTACCGAGCTAACTCTAGACTGTATGATTGCCGGCCGTGTCTTGTTCTTTGGAAACGTGTTTAAATGTATCGAATCAATGTCAGTTGTTGTCGCTGCTCAATAATTCACACGTAACAATGTGAATCTGGAAAGAGTGAAAATTTTCAGCCTGGCTTGATTTAGGAGTCTATATTTAACCCAAAATAAAGGTGTAAATGGATGAATTACGTGTAAAAGTTACCACTGATTTCCGTCTTTGCTTAATTATCGTCCAAGGTGAGACGCACAATAACACAAGACAGCTGAATTGTGCATTACAGTGCGCCTGGATACAGAATAATGCTCTAATTCCTGCCCGTATACGCTTGCTGTTACTGTATATACTGCCCTCAACGGTACAGTTCACATATCAATTGTATACGTTTGTTGCCATGCCTTAAATTTATTGAAACTGCATGCGAAGTTGAACTGTGTTAGAAAACAAAGTAACTGTAATAATGCTGGTATAAATTTCTAAATGTGTTTTGTTCTCCTGAATCGTCGAGTTTGAAGTTTAGGATAGAGACTTTCCAATTTACCCCAACTTCTAATCCTAAATTTAATTCTACCTCTACCCTCAATTGAGTGGAGTGGAGTGGAGTGGAGGGTTTGGTTTAGAGTTGATGTAAGGGGTGGGGTATATTGGGAAGTAACTCCCTTGTTCTGACAACTTAGCGATAAGCTCTTATCTTGTTTTGCAAGTGTTCGTCAGTGAGTATTCCTGCAAAATGTTTTATTTATAAAGTTATAATTTACTTGCAGATTTTTAATAGCGTTTTCTTTTGTTACGCTTTGACTATAATATTCAGCCAATCAACTCCTAGCAATTCTCGGTTTGATGGAATTTTCTTCGTGACAGACGTCTTCACGTGTAAACATAATTACGTAAATGTATCGGAAATGTTCTAATGTTTGGAAAGTTTCGGCTAAAACTGGCTGACCGTTGAATGCAAATACTTTCACAATTTAGTTTTTACTAAATCAAATGAGTTTCCCCACCACAGTATGTACAGCTGATGCATATGCATCCAAGGCACTTCTTAAAGTGGAAGATCAGTATCCAATTATTAGGCAACAACCACAGAAGGTAAGCTGAGCCGCAGAGGTAACGTAGATGTAAATTATTCAAATACGGAAATTAATTGGTAATTCCCACAATCGTGTTCTTTATCAAAACTCCGCGCATGACGGAATGCGTTAACCAATCAGTCAATTAAATTTGAATCAATGCAGCTGTGATAGCACGTTACACTTTCTTTCAGATTATTGCGAAAAGCAAACAGTCCTTGAAAAGAGCGGTTTGTTCAACAGGAGAAAGAATATTGAAAACCACACCCGGTCGACTGTTGCTACGAAGTCTGGAAAGTACCATCGATGCATCTGAAAGGGTCCTTGATTACTTGTTGCCGGAGGAAAAATCTAAATGCGAGACGACTGAGAAGGTAGCTGCACAAGGGGGCGAGTTGACGACTACCATCAAGGGTACACAGACCGAAGAGGTCAAAGTGAAGGTGAGACGAATGTAAAGTGGAGCTAATGTCATTATCGTAACTTGTAAAATGTGCACGCAGTTTTTCCACAATAGATGAAATGTTCGAAACTAAGTTTACTTAGCGAAAGTATTCAAATGAACAGAAAATTATTTTATACATGCATACAATTTTTGTTATTTTTAAAATCTGTTTTCGCAAACAAACTATCACTAACCATAGACTTGAATTTGAACGTACGATTGTTTTTCTTTATTGCTCGAATTCAGGGGTACCTTCAGATTGTGGGGGCGCCGTTTAGATTTGCCGGAATGCTGATTGCTGCCCCATTGCAGTTGTGGGTAAGTACAAAGTTCGAACGATGAGTTTTCAAAGCATACACAAGTGTTCGGCCCCCCCCTCCAAAAATATATTTAAACATTTCCCGTTACAGACCGATGTCCTTCGCAAAGTATACAACTTTCTACTGCTATCGTCTCGTAGAAGTAGACGGAGAAGATCAAGGAAGTCTGGGGCGTGTTCTCCCAAAACTATATCCAACCGAATGAAGAAAACTCCACGAAAAAGATTGACGCCAGTTTCCTTTGTCGAGCATTTCACGAGACATTTCGCTTTGCCATCCAAGGCGTTGCACCTCTTCGGCATTGAGACAAAACGCAGTGGCAGCGACGGCGATATTAGGCGATATCTCGTAGCTTCCCCGTCCGGTATGTAAAATGAATTGTAGCAAACTTGTAAATTATCAGTCACTTTGATTTGCTTGGATGGGGAACAGTTCAATGTCGCAAAAAACAAACATTTTTTTACTGTAGCACTATCGACGTAATACATTATTACGGGACAACTTGTTTTCATAAATTGTCTTCGTACGTCTTTCAGCAAAAGATGACTCTCCTATGTTTCCCCATGATGCCGACAAGAAGCGAAAACTCGACGAGACGTTGACGGACACTGACAGCAGCGACTTCGATCTTGAAGATTACAGGTCTAGTCAGGATGAGGATTACGTCGTAAGTAATCTGCGTATTTCAAGGCACATGAGAGTTCATATTCTTTTGAATTTGACTATTAATAAATGCGTCCTTGGTTGCCAAGGCTGTCGATTAAAACTATTAATTACCGATAAGTCGAAGTTAATTCCCCGTGTCCTATTGTATTGCAGTAACCCAGTTGTGTTCGTACAAGATGTTGTAAGAACCACAATCATGTAAATAGGCTGCACTCGGGCTCTTCATTGTCCCTATTCGGTCGCAGTCTGAGAACGTGGTCTTCTGGTTTGGTATGCATGCACGCACGCTGGTGTGAGTCTGATGTCCGCATCAGTGTCGCATCAGGACATGCACGAGCCAATCAAAAATCGCATTTCTGCCATTCCGCATTTGGTCATGTATGAATACATTTCGGCAACCCATGGAACTATAAACATAGTTCCACTGGGCAACCTAGCTTTAAGTGGGCGTGGTTTCGATCATGTGTACATTTTATGGAGACGTGCATTTCCGCTATTCCGCTAATTCATAGAATGCTTATTGTCTGTTTAATTATTAATTTTATGGATCCAGACCTTTATATATTGTCTGATTCCAGTATTGATCGCATTGTATTCGCCATACAAAAGAACGAGTGCGCGCTTTCGGGAAAACTCGTAGTAGTATTGTAGCTCGAAGCTGCCACCATCCCCCCCCCCCACACAAGGTCTACAAGGACTAATTACGTTTTTTGCATTATAGCCGTCAAATACCGACTCTGGCAGTGACGATTATTCATCGCACGAAAATAAGGACGACGACGAAACTGCTAAAGTTGAGGCCGCCGCTGAATTGGAGGCTCTCTGCAAAGACAGAGACGAAATCCTGGAAGGTGAAACAATTGGTAAAAGTCGGCGAGTAAAAGTGACCACAAACGAGGTAGATTGAGTTATTCAAGTGAGTGCCTTTGGCTGATATTAGGGTCTCCTCGCTCTCGCTGAATATATCGCCTTGACGTACCTAGACAAATTTACATTTTTTTTTACAAAGCTGTATAACATTGATTGCATATACGATATCGAAAACTCCATCATCCACAGTTTTTTCCAGGACTTTGTAATTTAGAAATTCTCAGTGCGGTGACATGCCTTATAATGGGGATTCTTGTACACACAATAGCACTTAAGATTGCCATCCGTGGGCTTTTCCTGCGTTACCTTTCATTTTGATTTAACGTCATGTGTATCCCTGTCAAATTTATTTCTTTATTTTTTTAGGACGGCTGCACACATAACAAGTCAAAGATTTTGTCGGCATCACCAGAAATTTTACCAACTCTCCACCTGATGGCCCCCGATAGGATCCAGGTTACAGCAACCAAAAGCATTGCACATTCGCCCGTCATAAATCTGCGCCCACAGTGGTCATGCCGTCCTTCGCATTTGTAAATAAATCGCACATCGAAATTATATTTGTTTTCTTCTATGAAAATCGATTGAATAATTAAATTAGTTTCTACCAATGAGTATTTTTGTCCATTTTTACTGTTTCAGCTTGTTCAAATATGTCTGGTTTGGTTGAATGTGTAAATGCCCCATGGTTTAGCTGTCACTATGACATTAGCCGGTCAATTAATGTTCAAATCATAACTAAACTGTTTCGATGAACTGTATCAGTCACAATTCAGGGATTTGGAATGCAGTCATATCGGAGCTGTAAACGTCCAAGAGTTTTTCGATTAAACTGGTGGTTACGGAACAGTAATCTGAACGCGTTTCAAGTTCATATTTGTATAGATTAGAACTTTAGATGCTGTAGTTTTAAATTAACTGTTGAATCGCGCAAATAACTCTGCCGGTTAAAGAGTAACGGCCACACTTGTAGTCCGAATCTTGTAAATAACTGTGGCCGAACGTAATTTACATGTATATTTAGACGCGTATTCTAAGCGAGATTATCGAATTGTACTACCGCCAGTCGAATACTGCAAACGTTACATTGCCCCTAGACTGGCCCAGCTGTGGCGATTTGTTTTCAGTTAAAAAAAAATGAAAAAAATAGTTTCGTAAAAGGTGGAGGTGAACGCGAAACCACCACAGACTGGTCTTGTTTGCAGCAAGGGCGCGGCAAAAACGTCCAGTCCAGATGATTTTGCGTTAAAACCTCCATTTCGCCATTTTTTAATAATCGCCCACACTGTGCCAGCCTACATTTCTCCGTGGCCGTCGGTGAAATGATGTACTAGTAATTTGCATAATGTGTTATTCTCGGCGACTCGTTGGGTGTAGTAATTATTTCGGCTCTCTCAATAAGTAACACTACTGTATTTTAGTTAGTTTTACAGATTCGATGAATATTTCGCAAATAGAAATATTTTGAGGTTAATTAATTTTGAAGTGACTCTTGCAAGCCATGTTGTATCGTGTGATTGCATTCAAAGTATGGCGCTCAAATCTTGGCGAGGTGTATTGTTGGGCATTTGGATTGTACTGTTGACAATTTGCACCAATTTATTTATGAGCAAATTATGCCAATAATCGAATGAAATATACTTGAACGGTAAATTTTCATTTTGCCATGTAAGCAAATGGAGCCCTCGATTCTAACTAATGTGTTGCCATTGAAGCTGTGTTGTATTAAACAAATGGTCTTGTGGCTTCTAAGTTTAAAAAAAAAAAAACTTGCACAGACGACGTAGATTGAGTTTTTCAAGGGAATGTTCGGCTTGTATGATTAGTGTCTTCCAGAAGTTCTCGCAAGAAATATCGTTTACGTACATGTACATTGATTGCATATACGATATCGAAAACGTCATCGCATATAGTCGTTTCCAAAAGGTGTTCAATGCTTGTACAACACTAGTTTTAATTTATACTGAGCGAGGCAAACCATGCCCAATGATTACCAATTCTCAATCCATACATGCTCCTTCCTTCACACTACGAATTTTGTGCAGGACTCGCAGTGTCTCAAAAAGCAAGAGCTTCTTTAAAAACCATAGCCAATACAAAATCTATTGTAAAATCCTATAACGCATTTTTGTACTTTGTATCCCAGAAAAAGTTCTCGTAGTTGGCTTTATCCGGTACACATTACGTGACAATTGGGTGGGGTGTTGATCGTCGCATACAATTCAATTTGCATTTTACTAGTTTTGTTAGCGTGCACGTGTTTCTGACACGTTTCATTCTTCACATAATTTACAAGAGTGGGGTTTGCACGAGAGGGCGTTTTCCGATCTGAATGGAACGTTTCGATTTCTTTACAGAATAATTCTCAACGAAATGTAGAAATATACAGCCTCTAAAAAATGTCATTGCAAAACTATTCAACCGACGACCAGTTTGACGCCACAAGCATACGAGGCGTAATTTTATTGCGTTTAAAATTGTTCTATTTTCAAACTGCGCATGCACACACGGTGATGCACACTAATTAGGTAACGTATCACTGGTTAAAGTTATTGGAATCATTTTGAGCAATGGTACTCGAGTGGGATAAACGTTTCTCTGTAGTCTCTATGAATTTGTAACTTGCTATGATTGCGTTAAAGAAATAGAACCTGTGGTGTCTTTCAACAATTTACTAAAGCCTGATCAAAAACGTCTCGAAACGCTCCCATCAGTTTTTCGATTTTTCAGCTCGTAATGATAGAATCGGTCAATTTATAATTACCATGTTGCCTACAGCATTTTGGCACAGTTTACTGAAGACTAGTTTTTCATTCCTTATGAATATTAACTTATGTAAATGAGATGATGTCATGCAAATCCCTCTCGCCACTATACTTTCTTTATGGGCTCTGCGCGAGCTGCTGTGGAACGCCGAGACCCGGTGAAAACAGTACAAACTCAATTTAGATAAGCACATTGATATATTGTACATATAGGTGCAGTCTTGTTACATTGTTCAGGAGAGTATCAACATCGGTGCAAAACTCGTACGTTGCAGGTTATTGTAAAGTAAACTGGGGAGGGGACCTGCAACCGCAGTTGGCATTTTCTCTTAACGGAAAAGTAAAAAGCAATGTAGCGATTACATTCATAACAGTAAAGGCCCTTTCTACTTGCTCTATTATTCAATTCCGGAACTGAGTTTCCAGCTCGTATACCGAGAACAACCAACCACGCATATTTGAATAGATGATACCGATTTTATTCAGTGAATCGCATGATAATCTCTCGCCATAGAAAATAATTTTCAATTGAGATATCATTGAATAACCTCGTACGCACATCACTGGTTAGTCCTTCTGGAATACTGACATTTATAAAAGAATTACTTTGCCTGTGCGTTGCTTAGAAATACAGCTCGCAACCAATCCAGCTCGCAACCAATCCAGCTGAGATTTTGACAGATGAAGAATTGATTATGCCGACAATATAAGAAGGCACCATGGGCAGATATTCGAAAACAATACGATGCTTTGAAAAATGCATTTGTCAGTATATCTGTCGAATCACGTATAAATTCTTGTTTGCAGTCCCCCCCTGGGTATGGACACAAACGTGGAATCGTAGATGTATTGCGTTCGTTGTACGAGCGAAGACCGAACCGAACACGCTTTGTCTCCACACAAGTGGAATTATTTTCCAATTTTCAGTTGAAAGTAAAGCTCAGATTGTGATCAGAGTCCAGGTTAAGCCAGTTTTGTCTTTTCTGGAAGATCTACTTCCTAATAGTTATGTTAATAATCCTTTATTACACTGCATGGCATACGTCTCGGTACTGGTTTTACAAAACAGTTTACTATGATTTCAAGATATGGGTAACAGGCACATTAAGGACATACACTCTGAATATACGTACACGTTATGGCGCCATACTAAACGACCCAATTAAATGACGTACGCCCCATTACGCAACGCCAGGCGCGCGTCTTTTAATAGGCATGTTTGTATGTTAGCGTATTTCCTCAAAAAAAATACTGTGTTTAAACCAGGGTATTGTATTACCACGTAATTGTAAAGAATGTGTTACTATAGAAAATACGTACTATCATTGTTGCTTTGATTTGTAGATACTTTCGGTGGACTTCTATGTCCATTTTGTGACTATTAATTCTCATTCGTTCTGGAAACTAGAGGCCAACATAAAGGTGAGCATAAACATTGAACTTCGCTATACTAACGTTTTTGATACCTTCAAAATCATGTACTTTTCACAAGTTCCTGCCAAATACAGTTCCGATTTGTTGATGCGTGCGTCCTTGGCAGCCGTTGACATACTCTGAGAAACGTTCGGTTAACAGTTAAACTGCTTGCTTGTAATCTTTAAGAACTACTAAATTAAATATTGATACGAGGAATAGCTTCGGCTAAATAACCAGCTGATGCAGAAACGTTTAGGGCACGTAATCAACAAATAAGAGGGGGAAATTGACATACAAACGGTACATCGGTTTGTCTTTGAATCGTATGTCTTGAATATGTCTATTTTGTGCTAAGAAGCGACCTGTCAGATGACACCACCCACAATCATGAATATATAGCGATTTTGACGGACAATAAAGGCCATTATATGATTCTCAACCCGCAAGGGAAATGTGCACTATTCATACCTTAAATCATCGCAGTCAATTCAATAGTCAATTATAACATTACAGTTTAGCAAATCCGTTGCTTGGTAAGCCTTTTCAATGAACCAATGTTACTATAAACTTAGTCTAATAGCAGTATAATTTCCGAATAGCCAAGTCGATTTGCATATAATTGACATCAGTAACAACTATTGTTCATGAATTTACATAATCTGTATTTGTGAATGTATTGAAGTACATTATATGACGGGCATTGTTAAGTTTTTATTTAAAAAAAAAGGTTTATTCGTTATTGATGACGTCAGTATGACTTGGTAAGGTATAACGCGATATAATTGGAAGTATAAGAAATTAGCTGTTGTTGAATACAACATTTCCCCATTTTCAAACACAATTAAACATCACTTTAATGTTCAGAATATATTACATTTTGCTTTAGGGCATGTACTAGTACATGTCTTATGGACGATTCTTCAACACGCCACGATAGTTTTCAACTACATGTAACGTAACAGGCTTAAATAGACCTCTTGTAGAAGTAGTAGTTACTTATTATTATCGCTCTAAAGAACACAGTTGTGTACATGTTTAACGTTCTCAACTAAACAATCAACCAGTCATTTGTACACATTCAGTTTGTACCATCACAATAAAAGATATGTACATGAGATTTGTTGTTTTGTGGTGACGTAATATTCCAATTTCGTATATAAACACTCGCAAGTTCATGCCTCACAGAAAGAATTAAACGTGATCCACTGTCTACCATAATAACACAAAATTCAACACTTAATGTATAGGTTAACGGTCTCCTAGCAACAACTGAATTTGATAATTTCAATCGAGTTCAGTTATTGCAGTGAAGCATGATTTTTCCGGCTTACTGTCCACTTATAATTAATTGGCATCGTCGTAAATGGGAGAGGTTATTTCTGTTATCGGTAAGATTTGCGAATTAGTTTTGTGATATTGTCTCTCACATGTTATTGCTTTATTGGGATATTCTGTGTATTTTTCTTTTTATCTCAGCGAATTTGTATTCATCATGCCATTCAACAATCGATTCATTGACAGAATTTTGTTTCCCGTCGACAGTTTTTTGAAAAACTGCGGACGCGCATGTGTATGTTTCAAAATGGCGAATGTCACACTTACTGAGGAAGCGGAGACAAACGACACATCGACGATCGACAACGATAATGTTACTCTCGCACGAGCGATATATAGGCATGACTTCGCTGGACAGGGATGGGACGATGCAACATGGATCTTAACCAGTGCATTCATCATATTCACCATGCAATCTGGGTTTGGCCTTTTAGAATCGGGTTCAGTGTCGAGAAAGAATGAAGTCAACATTATGGTGAAAAACGCTATCGATGTTTTATTCGGCGGGCTGTCCTACTGGGCGTTTGGCTTCGGTCTCAGTTTTGGTACGAGCACTTGGTCTAACCCGTTTATCGGAATAGGAAATTTTTTCGTGAATTCTGAAAGTGATGACATGGGTGAGGTATTCTCAAGTTTCTTTTTCCACATGTCATTTGCAACCACAACTACTACCATTGTAAGCGGAGCAATGGCGGAAAGAACTAAACTAGAAACGTACATCCTATTTTCTTTCCTCAACACGTTCATATATTGCGTGCCGGCGCACTGGCTGTGGGCAGATAATGGGTGGCTGAAAGGTCTGGGTGTGGTAGACGTTGCTGGTGCTGGAGGTATTCACCTTATCGGCGGGGTAACTGGCCTCATGGCGACCTTGATGCTAAAACCGAGATCTGGGAGGTTTGAAGAAAGCAAGGAGCTGACTGCTATGGGATCGCCTACGAACGCTTTATTTGGCATGTTCATGTTGTGGTAAGAAAATTGTAATTTGAATAATTGTATTTTGCAATGATTATAACAGTGTGCGTGGACATTGTGCAACTGGTCAAACCGCAGGGTCCAAGAGCGTAATACAACTTGCATAGTAATATTTTTTGCCTGTATATTTTCCACATACAATAGGTGGGGCTGGCTGGGATTCAATTGCGGAAGCACATACGGAATAACGGGTGGCAAGTGGAAACTAGCAGCAAGGTAAGTCTTTTGCGCATGCGTAAAAATACTGTATTTTTCTGCATAAAAACAAAAGATATTCACAATGTTATATTCGTATTTATAGGTATATTTTAAACCACCCAGTTGTATTAATATGAAGAGTGTACACCACACACATGCATTCACATGACAATATTATATTATGCACTTCATACAAACTCCGTACTTGTGCAATTACCAAATTGTGAAACCACACACAGCTGTGTTCATATGTAGTGAAAACCTCACATTCACGTACGCGCTGCTAGATAATAAATTAAGAGATTAGATTCATATATTAAATCTAAACAAATATCATACCACGCACTTGAATTTATATAAAGAAATCGAACAACGTATATGTATTGATATGAAGATATCAAATCATGCATTTGTGTGAAGATATTGAACAACGCACTTGTATGTATATGGGGATATCAAACCACGCACTTGTATTCGTACTGAGATTGTAAACAATGCACGTGTATTTATGTGGACAATGTTAACAATACTTGTAATCATATGGAGATTGTAAATCACATACCTGTATTCATATGGAGATTGTAAATCACACACCTGTATTCATATGGAGATTGTAAATCACATACCTGTATTCATATGGAAATTGTAAATCACATACCTGTATTCATATGGAGATTGTAAATCACACACCTGTATTCATATGGAGATTGCAAATCACATACCTGTATTCATACGGAGATTGTAAATCACATACCTGTATTCATATAGAGATTGTAAATCACAAACTTGCATTCATATGGAGATTGTAAATCACAAACTTGCATTCATATGGAGATTGTAAATCACATACCTGTATTCATATAGAGATTGTAAATCACATACCTGTATTCATATGGAGATTGTAAATCACATACATGTATTCATATGGAGATTGTAAATCACATACCTGCATTCATATAGAGATTGTAAATCACAAACTTGCATTCATATGGAGATTGTAAATCACATACCTATATTCATATGGAGATTGTAAATCACAAACCTGCATTCATATGGAGATTGTAAATCACATACCTGCATTCATATCGATATTGTAAATCACAAACTTGCATTCATATGAAGATTGTAAATCACATACCTGTATTCATATGGAGATTGTAAATCACATACCTGCATTCATATGGAGATTGTAAATCACAAACTTGCATTCGTATGAAGCTTGCAATTGTATGTGACAAACTTGCATTCATATGGAAATTGTATATGACAAACTTGCATTCATATGGAGATTGTATATCACAAACCTGCATTCATATGGAAATTGTATATCACAAACTTGCATTCGTATGAAGCTTGCAATTGTATGTGACAAACTTGCATTCATATGGAAATTGTATATGACAAACTTGCATTCATGTGGAGATTGTATATCACAAACTTGCATTCATATGGAGATTGGAAATCACATACCTGCATTCATATGGATATTGTAAATCACATACCTGTATTCATATGGAGATTGTAAATCACAAACTTGCCTTCATATGGAGATTGTATATCACAAACCTGCATTCATATGGAAATTGTATATCACAAACTTGCATTCGTATGAAGCTTGCAATTGTATGTGACAAACTTGCATTCATATGGAAATTGTATATGACAAACTTGCATTCATATGGAGATTGTATATCACAAACTTGCATTCATATGGAGATTGTATATCACATACGTGCATTCGTGTGAATCTTGCAATTGTGTGTGACAAACTTGCATTCATATGGAAATTGATATTACAAACTTGCATTCATATGGAAATTGTATATGACAAACTTGCATTCATATGGAGATTGTATATCACAAACTTGTATTCATATGGAGATTGTATATCACATACGTGCATTCGTGTGAATCTTGAAATTGTGTGTGACAAACTTGCATTCATATGGAAATTGATATTACAAACTTGCATTCATATGGAGATTGTATATCACAAACATGTATTCGTAAGGAGATTAAAAAATCACGCACTTGCTTTCACATGGTGATTGTAAATCCCACACTTGTAATCATATAAAGACTGTAACACAGACATGTGCATTTATATGGAGACCACGAACTTGTGATGACCAGGGCATTGTAAAAATTGCACTTGTATCAACATGAAGATTGTAAATCACACATATAGATACTGTAAACGACACACGTGTATTCACGTGGACGTTGTAAACAATATTTTTTTTTCAAGAAGGTTGTAAACAACAAACGTGTATTCATATGGATATTATAAACCACACTTACATTCATGTGAACATTACTTGTACATACATGGAGACTGAACCACAGATTTGTAATTATGTAGAGATGTTTATATGGAGATTGTAAATCACACACTTGTATTCATATAAAGACTGCAACACACACACACGTCTTTATATGGCGATTGTTAACCACACGCTTGTAAACCACACACGTGTATTCATGTGAAGGTTGTTAAACACATACTTGTGATCACGTGGACATTGTAAAGAATTGAGATTGTAAATCACTTACTTGAATTGATATGGAGATTGTACCACGCACTTTTCTTCAAATGGAAACTTTAAACCATACGCATTTAATGGCGCAGATATTATAAACCAATTACATGTATTGTTATGTAATGTCTTGTTTGCAATGCATTTTATAACATATATTACATATTAAATACTGATCACAGCAAGCTGTGTTGGTTCATTGTCATCCACGATTTTCCGATATTTTTTGTGATTTTTTTGTTTTGTTTTTGTTTTAAATTTTAATAACTCATTGCGTTTATGTCTGTGTGATTATAGGTCAGCTGTTAACACCATTGTGTCATCTGTATCAGGAGGCTCTGTTGGTATCTTCTTGAGGTATGTACGTATATATTCATGGTTTCGAAATTCCAGGGCCAATTTGCGCAAATTCCTAATACTTTTCTTTTTGTTATAGCTCACACTGTCAATAATATATCATCGTTTTCTGATAACACAGACAATATTTTTTACAGTTATACTACGAAAAAGAGAAAGTTAGACGTGAACTACTTGATAAATGGCATTCTTGGTTCGTTAGTGTCAATAACAGGTGCGTGGTCTAGAGAACACAATCAAATTTCATTCCATGCTATTAAATTGTCAGCAATAAAAGAGTTTTCCTGATAAAGTGCGCATCCTAGCGACAAAGCGCGTCCGTGACGCGGATCTATTTAAGGGCGGCAGTCGTCGTGCCGCGTCCTTTTCGATATGGGACTCATAGCGAAGCATGCAACGCGTGTAAAATACATTGTTTATTTACATGAACTTAGAATACGCGCTGCGCGACGACCACCGCGCTTTTAGTATCCTAGTCGATTGTCATTTAGAATAACGCAAATCTCCACGAAATCAGGTTTATTTGTAATTAACGTACGACCATTTGTCAACACAAAATCGATTTATATACATCTAATTACGTCACTGTCGTATATTATAATCCTGTCCACAGCAATGTGTGCTCTGATACATCCATGGGAAGGGATCGTAATCGGTAGTATTGGTAGTGTCATCTCCTGTTTGAGCATCGATCTAATGGTGAAATTGAAAATAGATGACCCGGTTGGTGTGATACCAGTTCATGCTCTGCCGTCGATGTGGGGTCTACTCGCAGTTGGATTATTTATCCGAGAAGATACAATTGAGAACATATCACGTTACAACGGTAAGATTATTTAAGTGATACTCATTCTAAAACTGAGGCGATGAGCTGAAGAACAAGAATAGAAAATGTATAAAAGTGTTGTCAAGTATATTTGGATATAGTATTTGCAAGCTCACCCTACATCATTTACGGCACCACCTTCGTTTACATATTTATCAAATCTTTGCATATTCTTTGTCTTTTGTACAAAAACTGCAACCGCGTAGTCTTGTGGGTCATATGGAAACATGTGTTTGAAGGCGCTAGCTATTTTTGCTATTTGCTACAGTAGCAAAGGTGTTTTAGCTTTGATCTCGAGTTCGAATCTCGCTTGTTGTGTGAATTTTGATATATATTAAACATATTCAGGCAGCGAATAACTTTATGTTGTGTCAGTGTGTTAAATGCTTAAAATTCGAGGCACCCATCAAATGTACAGTACTGTGGACCTGTGTATTAGGGAAGTAAAGTAAAACTCACCGTAATTGCATCTTGTAATAAATTATGGCTCATCAGACATATTTGTCCGTGAAGACACATATCGTAACATGTCTGGAATAACGTTATGTTTATTAAATATATATTATTTTTTTGGTACAGGACTCTTATACGGAGGAGGGTGGTACATGTTTGGTGTGCAAACTGTCGCAGTGCTCACGATTTTAACATGGACGATGGTTATGGCATTCGTGTTTCTAAAACTCCTCGACATCACCTTCGGACTGAGAATTCCTTTGCACGAGGAACTATTAGGGTTAGATTTGGTGGAGCATTCTATAAATGGGTCATACGACAAGAAGACAAGCGAATTGTCAGGTGCCGATGGTCGTATCTTGGAAGTTGTAAAAACGGACGGTGGTCGAATGTACAATAGCAATCTACGCAAACTGTCGCGAACGGTCACAATGGGCCTCCCGTTTGAGATGTTAAACACGCAGTCAATTACAAATGTGAACGTAACTGCAAAGCCCTGAGCATTCACGTTGAAATGTACACAGATACGATAAATTAATTTTCCAGTCACTTGATGTCGTAACGGAGCATGTGTAAATGTCAGACATGTCCATAACCGAGTATGTTTTAATTAATGTGTTAAGCATATATTTATTTTCAGCACCACGATTGTTATTGTATATTTATAAACACATTAAAAAGTTCAACGCACCATATGCAGCATTAGGCTACCCAGTCTTGTATATATAAAACGTATTATGTGCAAACAGTATTTTCAAAACCAATAAGTGATATGGAATCTCAAACAAATGTACATATTATGTTCATTTGTGTTTTAAGAACAAATAACAATCAATTTTCATGTTTTTCCTAACTTTTCTGCTGCTTTTCAATAGACATCAAGGATTATATTATAAGCTCTTTAAATTTCACCCAAAGAGTGTGTTTCTTGTGTTGTCGAAATTTGTGATCGGCCCAGAACAGCGCAGCCCACACTTCTATATAGGTCTATATATCAGGTTATAGGGGCACAGTATGGTGAGAATGAATACAAAAATAGATAATAAATATCTCGTGACTTTTTACAAAATTGCGTGTCATTGTTCAGGTAACAGTACGTAATTTTGAAAAATATGATAATTTTAAAGTGAACATCTATATGTACAGATAAAGTTGTATTCCTCACAAATCTGCGGTATGAAAAATGCGATGTTTCGCAGTCACCCGTTACCTCGCGCGTCGCAATGACGTTACTTCATCGACTGCCTAGTCATGGGCTTATCTCATCGCAAATGATATTGTTATACAATATGACGTATTTAAATAATCTACAAAGGATGATGGGATACCAGTATCTCGCGCATCTCTTAAAGCTTTGTATCTTCGCATGCATACGACAGCGACGAATTATCCATAGTCTAGAATATAATGACGACACTCGCCCCTCCTTTATACAATTGTCAACATTGATATTAAAGCGGGGGTGTCGTCACCTGCGCACGCGCTGGAATTGAATCCCAAACGTCGATAACAACGCACGCTAAAAACGCACGCTAAAAACGCAAAGGCTCATGGGTAGACGCTTCTTTGTGAACAATGACACGCTATGGCCATCTGACGCATGCGCAGGTGACGAAACCCCGCTTTAACTTGAATTGTTGTCATTCAGTGTTAAACTCGTACAAACTCTTCGTACTAGGTCACAGGTCATTGCGCATGCACGTGAATGTCTGATGCCGTTACTGATATATCGAGTGAGTGCAGCAAGGTTTTCTTTGAGTCGAAAAATGCTGTATACAATGGATCGCTACATTCTACCCATACATGGTTACTATGGATACTATACTTCTTCAGAAATATGAGTTTTCCCTTTAACAATGATGATTGTGAGAACTATATCAATACATATGCGGCACCTAATTTACTGCACATAAAAAAAATATTGGTTTGCTCAGGTGAAAATCAGGGCAGGAAATCTCGTAGAATACTTGGTATGTTTTCCTCAAAAAAATATCTACATATTTTGCGTAACATCCATTGACATAAACAGTTGCATGTTATTCTTTTATTCGTCAGAACTGCTAACGTAGCATGTGTGGCAAATCAATGTTGAGTCTAAGCTTTCCTTCATTATAATTTATTCATGTGCTTTGCGATAGAGAAAGATTTGATGATGCCTTTTTGAGGTAGAGCGGTTGACGGACTTGGTGAGAAAGAAACTAAAAAGGATATACAATAGTTAGGTTAAGCGGCACCTTTGAGATCATGGCCTCGAAGGTGTCAAGGAGTAAAACATTAAATGTACTAGGTAGGAAGGAATGGTACCTGGTAATGCATGGGAAGAATTCAAATGAATCTGTTAATTTATCACAATTAATATAAACGGAATCAGTAGACTGATATCAGATGGTAGTTTGAAACAAAGAATGTCTGAAAATCGTATTCGATTTTGTGCATTTTCAGTTATTATACTCCTTTTTATCTGCAAGGATCTGCAAATTTACTGCCTACAGATGATACGTTAACCATTCATTGATTTCACCAACTAAAGTGTGGCGACCCCTGTCACTCAAGTTAAATGTTATAGGTGGTGCTTTATCGTTACAACAATAATTGTATAATACAGCTCGTCCATTTACCTCCTATAAATTATTCAGAAATACAAATTTACATAAATCATTACTGTGAAATAAGACAAATCATATTAAAGATTACTCTCAATTATATGACAAGCCGAAATAATTATATATGATTATATACCATCAATAGGCGAGTACCTCTGCCCACTATTACTTCATCTTCATTAGAGTCAAGCGACCTACAGCCGCTTTGCTGTCACATTGCACAGTTTCGCCGTTGTTTGAATTCAAATTTCTTACGCGAGGGAGAGATTTTAGCCCTTGTGTATACAGATATCATCAGTATATGGCAATCCGTATTTTAATCAATTTCCTGTGAAATGAGAAACTGACATTTACAGTATTTCTGCAATTATATACGCCGAAATCGCCCGAGACCATATGCTATGTTGTGCTGATGCAAATAGACGAATCGTTGAGATTAAGGGTGTAGTGGAGCAGAATACACGAAAAAAATACGTTGACAATGATATGTAAAAAAAAAATATTATAGCCCCTAACAACAATCTATCTATACCACATTACAAAAAGCAGTGTAAGAACGAAAAAAAGATCACACGTTAGTTAAAAAGCAAAATGCAGCATTCAATTTGACATACAAATACTTCTCGAAGTAATTTTTATTTATTTATTTATGCTAAAATACACTAGCACATTATATTTGAGTAATTTTACGTTCATGGGACGGAAATTGTCTTTGAAATAAAGTGTGTAATCGTGGTTCATGGATTGATGGTTGCAAGATCCATAATCGCGTATATTCGTCAACAATTCTTTCAAATGTACAGTTGATTCGTATCTAACGATATGAAAACTTGGGCACCAGTCCGACACAATCCTAACCGAGATATCTGGAAAGTCGTAGTCTCTCAGAATGTAGTTTCCCGCGAAAGGTTAAAATGTATTTCGTAATTTGTAATCCTTGTGATTGTGGGACGAGCTCAGGGAGCAGACAATAGATTTGTCGTGACGTCAGTATCTGATTAGCAATACATAAACATGAAATAAATAAATTCTATATGAGTTCCCTGAAATATTGTATAGGGAAAAATATTGCGCTGATCTAGCCCGTTATCGTAAATAACACACACGGTTATCGTAAATAACCGCACACAAAAAATGAGAAATTTTCTTTTACAGTAGTAACTATGGTAACGATATTTCAATATCGCTCTCATCATGACGTAATGTGAAGACGTGCAGTAGAAAAAAAGCTATTTCAATAAAAATCCTGTCGGATTGTTTGCTTTGACGAGCGAATGGTAAAAATTCAATAACATTTGTGAATTGTAGTATTATTTGATACAAATAAAACATTATTTATCGAATATCCTTGTAGAATCTCTCCAGCTGCGCTTGCTACACAGACTTACTAGAATTCATTGTAAAATCAAAACCATTCATCTGTAAACACAGTGTCGTTAACTCCAGTGAATATCATGCTTTTGTCCGTTCATGCGTTTGTAAATGTTATATTTGGATGTGTATTATTTATCGCTGGGCGCACTAGGGTGACAATAAACTAGGTGTATATTTTAGTTACACCCATCGTACAGTATGCGCCGTCCACGAAAGCTGTACATATTTAAGTGACATTTAAATGAGATGAATGTCAATGACCATACGCGTGACACGATAAATACAACGCGGTATTCTTTATGTATCGTACCTAGAGTTAATATAGTAGAGTGTGTTTTCTTTTACAAGATGCCTGTCAGAACAGTTCGTTTAGATGGGACTTTAAATGCAAGTGGCGTCAATCTATCTGATATTCTAAATATGAGTGAGCAAGAGATTGAGCGTCATGAAATCTACATACACAATGTGTCAACAGGATGGGACGATGCCACGTGGATTCTGACTAGCGCCTTCATTATATTCACCATGCAATCTGGGTTTGGCCTTTTGGAATCCGGGTCGGTTACGAGAAAAAACGAAGTCAATATCATGGTGAAAAACGCAGTCGATGTCATATTCGGAGGGATTTCTTACTGGGCGTTCGGATATGGTCTGAGTTTTGGGGAATCCAGTGGCTCAAATGCGTTTGTCGGAGTGGGCGACTTCTTCGTTGACTCGAGTAATGATGGGATGGGATATTTGTTTGCAAGCTTCGTGTTTCATACATCTTTCGCCACGACAGCAACAACGATCGTCAGCGGCGCAATGGCCGAGCGCACGAAGATAACCAGCTATATGATATTTTCATTCCTGAACACGCTGGTGTATTGTTTCCCGGCGCATTGGTTATGGGCAAAGACTGGTTGGTTGAAAAAGTTGGGCGTTGTCGATATTGCTGGTGCTGGAAGTGTTCATCTGGTCGGTGGCACGACTGGTCTCGTCGCTACACTCATTTTAAAGCCTCGATTCGGAAGATTTGAAGGGAAGAACAAAATTCCAGCAATGGGGTCTCCCACGAATGCGTTGTTTGGAATGTTTATGCTATGGTAGGTTTTGTGTTTCCTGTCTATCTCCACCAATCCCTCGCTCATTGAATTATCGGCAATATATATATTTATTTAGTGCCATATTCTGGGTATTCGTGTACCAGTTGTGACGTACACATGTGGCACCAACAGAATATGCCATTGTATTTTAAACCTTAGGAACTATTAATGAATCAATCTGCTTTTTTTTTGGGGGGGGGGTTGTAGGTGGGGGTGGTTAGGTTTTAATTGTGGTAGCACGTACGGCATCACTGGCGGAAAATGGAAATTAGCTGCAAGGTGAGTAGATATACACAATCTAATCATATGCTGCAAATGTTTCAAAACAAATATTTCCCAAATTTTACAATATTATGAAAACTAATTTCGTGATCATTCTGAATTATTCAGATCAGCAGTGGCAACAATATCATCGTCCATCGCTGGAGGTATTGTAGGAATATCTTTGAGGTATGTTGACTATATAAATGACCTTGACCAAATACAATAACACTGTCGCCACGTATTCAACACCTCAGAAAAACTGCATATTATTCTGCAAGAAAATCGAAAACCCGACTATTTGTGGCAATTTACAAAAATGGACGTCACAGTAATGGATGTATGCGCATATACCAGGTTTCCTGAAAACGTAATAACATTTGAGTTCATTCTGAATAAACTGTTGTCAACCACTGTTAGGGAAGAGTCGCGGTATAAAATTCTATTTCTTATCTGTTTATAAGCCATCTTTCTATATTCACCTTTACACGTGGCAAATCTGTCTACAAGGCTTTGCTAAGGCTCTAATTTCTGGGTCGTATATGTTGATATGTAAATTACCCGCTCATCATTTTTTTCCCGTATTTTTTTGGCGAAAAAAATAAATAGAAAGTGAACTGAACTACAGTTTTTAAGATTATACATATCAAACGTCATCCTTGGTTATCCATGTATTTGCTTCTATAGTTTCGTTACTAAGAGAAAAATATTTGATATTTGCTATCTCATCAACGGAGTTCTGGCATCCTTGGTTTCAATAACAGGTAAGATTAATATCAACTATTTGTGTCATTATTTTGAGCATTTCTGTCAATTTCTTTATTATTTTAATCACTCATAAATCAATAAATTATAACTTCAGATTAATCCGCTAAATCTGTCACATCATTGCTCGAGCTCATACAATGTGTGGGTTTTTCAATAGTAAATTTATGATTAATATTTGTAATTTGTAAGATACTGATGAAGTAGATGCATGATATGTTTTGGACAATATTAGCAAAAATGTACCGTGACGTGTGTAGCCTTTGTACTTAAAAATTAACAACTATTAAAATATACAATAGTATATACAAGTCAAGCTAAGCTTATTTTGTTTGTATTTCAGCAATGTGTGCGTTATCCCAGCCATGGCAGGCGTTTATCATTGGTGGTTTTGGAGCAATTTGTGCCTGTCTCGGCTGTGAGTTAATGGTTTTGTTAAGAATTGACGATCCAGTGGGAGTTGTGCCTGTACATGCAATGGCGTCAATCTGGGCTCTGCTGTCAGTAGGCCTGTTTGTCAGACGCGATAATATCGAAGGCATTGCTCTGTACAATGGTGAGTACTTAGTGTGAAAAAAATATTACGGTTATGTGTGACTGTTTATGTCGAAAGCATTTACACTAGGGATATGACAGTGAATAACAAAACACAAACACAGTATTGGAAACGAGCACGTGTATTACAAGTAGACGTAGGCTAGTGGCACGTATGCAAAAAACACAGTCACGAGTGTTAAATTTTCTGTTGTAGAATAGTTTTACTGTAGCCCATTTGTTTTATTTCACTATCGAACGACGGCCATTATTGCAGGGTGCATCAGAATGGCTCATTTTTGCATTTTTCAAATTTGTGCACATTGTTGCACGCACGTCAATTTGTTTTACAGATCAAATTCGTTCAAAATGGCTGAATGGCGCTCATTTGTCTTCAGTAAATGCTGTTTCGTTTCCGTATCTCTGACATGCTAATTCTGATTGCATTCTATATTTACATATGCATTATATACTACGTCATACATATATGTACTTGCATATTAAATTCTGTATTAAGATGGCTGACTCGTAGCCGTTATAGTAAAATTGTATCAAGATCAAACCTTTGACGAAAACCTGAGATGATTTGCAAGAGTGTTTAATATACAATGTATATGTGTGTTCAACAATTTATTTTTTCCAGGTCTGTTTTACAATGGTGGATGGTATATGCTGGGCATTCAACTATTGAGCATTGTAGTGATAGCCGGCTGGACTCTTTGTACCTCCTTTATCTTATTGAAATTACTCGATCTCACTATCGGACTCCGGGTTCCATTGGTTGAGGAAGTGCTCGGGGCTGACTTGGTGGAACATTCACTAAACGGCTCCTACAACAAAGCTACTGGTGAACTTCGGGATACCGAAGGTGACATTATACAGAAGATAGAACGAAACGCTGACGAGAACTATTACAGAGCGCTGCGCAGGGTCTCGCAGATGGTGTCGGCAAAGCTGCCGACTAAGATTGTATCGTCTTTAGCGCAGTTAAACAAATCACTGGAATTAAGTGAAGTCCTCGGGAAAGCGGCTGAACTCGATAAATGGACCGGACCGCATGGCAGAAAGTTTAGAAAAATAGGGGTTGAACCGGGAGACCCTGATAACAGTAGCGTAGCTGCCTCTATTGGTGCAGATAGTGACTCAATATCACCGCGCATTATTTCCTCTGCAGTAGACAATGCATACGTGTGTAGTAACGATATGACAGAATGTACACCCGCTGCGGTATTCGCTGAAACTACCGAAGGGTCACTTAATATAAATTGAATTTTATGCCAGAACTTATTATATTCTTTGTTACTTATTATTAATTTAATTGTGTTTCAAATAGTCTCCATCGATTCAGCATCGTAAGTTGAACCCTATTTAAGAGTCCAAAGTTGACGTACGCATAATTGGTCATGACAAATAGTCCGTGAAAGTGAATCTACGCCTACGGCATGCATGGTCCTAAAAATATATTGCAGTGATCTTAGCAAGTCCACTTGGGTGAACGTCTTAAATTTAGTAAACTCAAGACTGATCTGTGTACTGCATATGTTATTTACTCTGCAATCACGTAAACATGTGTCATGATACATATGATCAATTAAACACCAGGCATTGGATCTGGACTTAAGATATTAAAAACCGTATTACAAATTATTAATTACAAACACTATTTGTGATCTACAAGTGGTAGACCACTTATGATATTAGTAGTATCATCTTGAGACCTTAATACCTGCATTTAACAGTATACATTGTGTAAATACAGAAATTATACTTTCTGTTCTCTAAACAATTCTATAATAGGAATAAATCTGATCAATTATGTATCTCGCATAAGCCATATTTTATCAGCAACGCCTCGCGTTTTATTGAGGTTGTTTTCAAAGGACATTTAGTTATTGTAATCGGTTCGTATATGCTGTTAGTATATTCCAATCCGAATACATATCAACACACTGAAATACATAGTCGGGAATTATTTTAGTTACATGTATTATGAAATGTTCACATTGATCTTTATTATAGCAAGTGTCAAAGTGTGTGTTCTACATGTTGAAATATGTTTTATTACATAAAATATTATAATTATTATATCTTAAATAATAGCGAGGGCAGTATAGAAAGTCATATAACTGAAATAAAAAATAAGTAAAATTAATATTGATGCGAATGATTCGGGAATGAATTTTCAAATTTATAAAACATGGTTGATTACTCCAAATGAGGAAGTCGCGATAGTCATCGCCCGGCGATAACACATTCGTCTCCCGTTTGAAAATATCCTGTTTGATGCTATTTATTTATTTAATCGGATGTGCATTCCATAAGCTTCAGCCATTGTTTCAGTAAGTAACCAAACAACTGTTCTTGTCAAACGTATTCAATTTGCGCTGTAGTTTATCTGAACATAAGGGTAATAAACCTATATCATTGGGTGTATATTAAAGCGTAGTCTCAGGTATTCACTTTCACTAATTTGCTGAACAGTCCATCAAACACATCTCCGGAAACAGCCGCCCTGTTAGACCATGCCGTTCATGCCATGCAGTAAATAACCATATCCATGTTTCTCGAATAAGGTTGGAGATAACAAGATCCTCTCGTTCAAATTTTCTCCTTGTAAGGTCAAGCAATTGAGATTTTATTGATCTGAGAAATATGTTGATTGAATACAAAATTATATTTAACGTAATTAACTAAAAAAAACGCTTTGTTTTAACACGTACTGCAGTCTTAATTAGAAGTCACAATTTTTATTCGACGGGAATATCCAGCCACAGGCATGTGGATATCACCAGAATACAACAATCTGAATTTTAATCAACATCAGTACCTTTAGTGAGATTGAAAACCTGATATTTACATTGTGTTTTCAATCATAAACTGAACTCACTCAAGGGCAAAAGTTCATTCGTTGTGTTCGTTGTGTTCATTGTCAATCGAAATAGATAAACGATTTGTCCGAGTAATAAGCAGCAGATATTTAGTTCTATCTATAAGCCAAAATTACTGGAATCGTTGTAGAATTACTGCACGTCGCTTTATGAAAGAACGAAATCTTACACAAAAAAAACAATATGTATATTTCCTTTTGAAATGGACATGCTTATCAAAATGATTTTCAGGTATTATTTGTAGTACTAACTTTGAGCACAACAATGGGTTCGACTCCTTTAGCAAGCATGTGACGTCACATGAAATCATGTCTAATGGATTGATTTGTGTGCGACAGTCGCGTATATCAATGTATATCCGGCGATTTTACAATATCCTACGAGATGAAAACATTGGCACCGATTCGACACAATGGCTGATGACTGAATGGTAAAACCATGTGTGAATGTTAGTCTTATTATGAATAAATATACGTTAATTATCTCGTATCCTTGTCTTCTCCTTCGAATGCCCACGCTACATCGTCTTACTAACATTCCTCAAAAGTAGTTATCTATAAACACATCATTCTTCTGAAAATGTCTCTCTCTTGTCTACTTTGATTTGTTCCTTTCATAGCGATATCTACAATTTTCTGTTTCCTCCGATTCTGTGAATGTCATATTACTATACATCATGGCGTATATATCACGAGTGAATCTGCAATTATGTTACTGGGTAACACGAGGCGAATATACTTGTAGAGTATTTATTGTCGGTCAGTAGTTATATTTTTGATTTTTTTGAAATATATTTTTTGGTCAAATATGCTATTTTAAACTTGCTTCAAATCTTTACGTATAGATTATGAGTTGTATTCACGCGTGTGTGCTGTGTGAGTGTACAGCTGGATTACAACAGTTTTAAAACTTTTAAAACGTTAATAATACTCGGTAAAGTGAACTACAGTTTCAAAAGAATACATATTCAATATTTGCTGTATTTGTTCTCAATATTGTGTTACCAAGAAAAAGGAATTTCATATTTGCTATCTCACCATTAGATTTTGGGCATCATTTGCTCCAACAGCAGATAACATATGTTGCATCTATTTAATTAAAATTTGTTATATCACTTCGTTTGATTTTAATTCAAAGCATAATGAATAAAACCCAATATTGTGGCGTTTGAAACCTTATTTATGAGACATCCAGTTTATAATTACCATGATATACTGAAAGGTATTAATATAGTGTGTGTAACAAAAAAACATATAGATGACATAAAACTGACCATTCATGGTTTGCAGTGATTAATTACTCACGTATGACCAGTTCTCATTTACGTATTAGATAATGAACGTGTTTACGTAGATTTTGCGTAATGAAAAAACGAGTGCGCGAAGCCCGAGTGACTGACGCATAGTCTACCAACCGAATTCATTGTTTTCAAACAAATTAACTATCTATTGCAACTAAGTTATTTTCAGCGTGCTTCGTGTTTGTGTATCTTTGTTGTATTCTCGATAAAATGCCACGAGAAAAACTCTGAATCATTTCCAAGGAACATCTAGCGAGCATACCGATTTTGACTCTGGTATGCTAACGAATGCCGTCCTTGGCATGTCCATTCTCTGGTGAGTGCAGTATTTCGAGTCGGAATTATCCATTGCAATGTACGTTTGCAATTGTGTTCGCTAAAGAAACATTTTTGGTCATGACTCTGACGCTGATACGTTATGATTCATAGCGGCAATGTGACTTACTCTACACCGGGTTGACAAAGCGTATATTATCCACGAGTCCCTAGTTAGATTAGATTTCCAATAGTTCATTAGTACAAGTCTCATGGCTAAAATAAGTAAATTTAAGAGAATATTTTCATGTGAATAATACTCTTGGAATCGAAACTGAGTACTTAATGTTGTAAACTAACGATTCTCTGTAATATCAAAGCATTCGACAATCAGTAATGTGAGCTCGAAATATGGGCGAAGATATCGGGCTGCAAAACTGTACTCATCATTAGATCAATGCATACAACCGCATCGATTACACTCTGAATTACAAATCATTATAAAGGTAGACTGAACACGTGTTTTGTTGAATATCTGAAATTGACATCTTAATACATCTAAGCAAATAATGGTAGGATTACATCTCATTCTCCGAAACTGTGACGTCTCGTTTCGTTTGGGATGAGATCTCAATTAATTGGCTATCACACTGAGTGTGTATCTAGGTGATACCACGTGCTTTCAGCATTGGCATGTGGAATACACATGATGTACGTTTCAAAAGTAAAATTGAAACCATACATATCAAACTTTGACTTTCTGTGAAACACGTAAACGAATTCGATCATGTATTGTATTTAATTGGTTAAAATCGCAAGGCTCAATTCTAAAATAACGCAAGTTAAGTCAAAATTTATGTAATTATCAAACTGCCATCGTCTGAAATGATTTTAGTGGCTATGAATTAGTTGTGAATATTCTTTGCACTTCACATTCACTTTGTTAGCGGGTATATGTATAACATTTACGATTCAAAGTGGTTATACGACCAGCATAATGCCGTCACAGGGAACAGCAAGCTAATTATTCTACCATTATACTGCTATCTGGCGTAATGGTAACCATAGAAACATTAACTTTGGGGATCATGTTTAAATTCAGATTATATGACCCGAAACGACAACTGAACATGAAACCAGCATGCTAGTTTGCAAACAATATTAGTAAACCGACACTACAGCATTGACATTACCGACGGTGAATAATAAAGCTGCAAATACCGTTTGTTATTTTCCAACCTTAGCACGACATGTAACCGTTCAATGAAACAAATTTGTATATAAATTTCTAAAAATTAAGAGGATGTTCGCGTGTTCCTCAACGGCAACCAGCTGGAACGAATAATGCAGCTGAGATCCTAGTGAGTTTAATCAGCCTTCCCAATTCAAGTCCCTATTATTTCTATCCGTGATTGAATAATGCTTACCTTGTTTGTCATTGGCGATGCGATAAACCGCACGTCTCGGTATAATGCGTTAAATTTAAATGTATTTAAATATCTCGTACATTACTTAGGAGCGCCAATGAAATTATAATATAGCTTCAAGACAAGAGATTCTTACTGGGGGAATTCTTGTCAGTTCAGTTACAGCATCGTTTGCGTTATTTATGATCGACGGACGTTTAAGAAGCTGGTAATTCTAGACGAAAAGTTGAGAATTTATTCCGTTTAGAAATTACGACTCATAGCTTTTTGACGTCGTTCCGCAAGAAGGAAGCACGTATTTTGAAGACTTGTATCAGGATGGAGAACGCAACTGATTCAATCACAACGTATGAGACGGGGACTATAGAGGAAGTCCAAGACGAAAGAGGGTGGGACGATGCAACGTGGATTTTGACGAGCGCGTTTATTATATTCACCATGCAATCAGGATTTGGGCTTTTGGAATCTGGTTCGGTATCAAAAAAGAACGAAGTAAACATCATGGTTAAAAATGCCATTGATGTGATATTTGGTGGATTGTCATATTGGATGTTCGGCTACGGAATAAGTTTTGGGAACGACGCCGGTTCAAATGCGTTTATCGGGATAGGTTATTTTTTTGTAGACGATACAGACGAAAATATGATGGGCACTCTGTTTTCCAGTTTCTTTTTCCACACTTCGTTCGCAACAACGGCGACGACTATAGTCAGTGGAGCCATGGCGGAACGCACCAAACTCGAAAGTTATATTCTGTTTTCATTTTTGAACACATTTGTTTACGCGTTACCAACGCGATGGGTCTGGGCGACTTCGGGGTGGCTGAATAAATTAGGGGCTGTAGATATCGCAGGGGCAGCGTGCGTGCATCTATCTGGTGGAGTCACTGGGTTGGTAGCGACGTTGGTACTGAAACCAAGAACAGGCAGATTTGAGGGAAAGGCGATTCCACCTAAAATGGGTATGCCAACGAATGCTATTTTTGGCATGTTTATGCTCTGGTGAGTGCAGTATGTTGATTTCATATACCTAGCTGTAGCAGGTGACTGTCTTGATAAATACATTACGGTAGTACGAACAAAACCCGCTAATTACGGGAAATATTTGAAATCGCCTGATCCGAACTTTAACGTAAATGTCACGTTAATAATGTTAGCACAATAATCTCCGAACGTAACGTCAATTTTCTTGTATTTCATGCCTAAATGCATTATTCAATTTCACGTTCAAAGGTGGGGCTGGTTAGGTTTCAACTGTGGTAGTACTTATGGAATTACCGGCGGAAAATGGAAATTGGCGGCAAGGTAAACCTTAAATATAGTTTATTGATTTAGTACACACTACATCGAAGTCTGGAACCTTTAAATTTCCCATTCAGTATATTGACATTGAATGATAATTGTTTTCAGGTCTGCTGTAACAACTATCACATGTTCCATTGGCGGCGGAACCGTGGGGATATTTTTAAGGTAATATAGTTAGTAAATTAGTTTATTGTTATAATTTTGCATGGAGTTGTTAACATTGTTGGGAAGGTTTCGGTACAATGTACATATGTACGACTAGCCGGATATTTTTTAAGTAAGTGCTTAATTATGTATAAAAGGTGGAAAAAATAATTGACAGCATTGGGGCTGCTTACTCGTTCTTTGGAAAACGTTGGCCAGTTATTTTTTTCTTAATGTTTGAATGAATATATAATGTAAGAAAATCATAAAATTAAATTATACCAGCGCAGTTTTCTTGTTTTCATTACAGTTATATTCTGAAGAAAAGAAAATTTGATATACTGTATTTAATAAATGGAGTGCTTGGGTCGTTAGTATCAGGCACCGGTGAGTTGAAATGTTTACATGTTCGGTAACATCTGTAACACGAAACTTTGAACAGTATATACGGAAATTGTTGAAAAGGAAATATTGCATGCATCTTAGAGACTGTTGCCTTATATTTTAACTTTTATTTTGTTTAAACTGCAATACGTATGCTTGCTAATTTTCACGCACTTTTGTGTTTGTTTTTGCACGTGGTAGGGGTGTAGGATTCTCAGCTGATGTACATTCGAATGAAATGTGATGAGCTGGCATTTAAAATCAATATAAATCATGACCAAAATCAGATATGGAGCATAGTTTACTGTGCGAGATGTATTTTGTGCATAATTCCACCAGGCAGAGTAAGAGACCACATAATAAATTACGGAACTGTGTATCTCAGCCTACAGAGACCACTAGTTGTGAACAACCTAAGCAAAAGTATTGTATATTCTGCAACCGCGATACTTTTTTTTTCTTAATAACACCTCAGCTATATGTGCGTTGGCCCGTCCCTGGGAAGCGTTGTTGATTGGTGGGATCGGTGGTATCATATCATGCCTTGGTGGCGAATTGATAGCTAAGATGAAGATAGACGATCCAGTGGGTGTTGTACCTGTTCACGCAATGTGTGGACTCTGGTCGCTTATTGCTGTTGGTCTATTCGTCCGTATTGACAGACTAGAAGGCGTATCTCGATACAACGGTAAGTGCGCTGAGCGTCATTTTTGTTTCGATGATCGAGCGTAGTACGAAAAGTCCTTGTCAAACACATTTTTGGAACTACGGGGCACTCACGTTCATGCGAGTAACGGTTTCAATGCGTTTTTTTTATTCAGGGCTGTTTTATGGTGGTGGTTTGTATATGCTCGGGATCCAGCTTCTCGCGGGAGTTGTAATTACAGTGTGGACCGTCGCAACGTCGTATATTTGTCTCAAAATACTTGACTTGACTCTGGGTTTGCGCATGACCCTGCAGGAAGAGATATTGGGGGCAGATCTCGTGGAGCATAGTCTTAACGGCTCATACGACAAAGCCACTGGCGAGTTACGAAGTGTTGAGGGTGATCTAATTGAAATCGTCAAATCTAACGGCGGTGCTTTTTACAATGACGAGTTGAAAAAGTTGTCAGACGCCGTTGCTATGCGAATGCCGCGGGAGATGTTTGCCTCCGTCTGTACACTGGGCCACGGCTCAGGTACCTATTCCAACGGCGAAATCATCCACATTGATAATGATTTCGTCCCTGTCACGAGAGACAGACATAAACTCAGCGTTGCAACTATCAGTAGTCTTCGCCGAGTCACCCCCATTGAAGATATGTCGTCGATAGTTTCGTTCCGTAGCACAGTCACGAAGAACCCGACCATGGAATCACATCCCACCAGAAACAGCTTAACGCTTGTAAACAAAGATGTAAACACAGCGGAAGTGACGCAGGGCGACCCCAGCATTTTGGCTATCCCGGTTACTACTTTACCTCCCCTGTTGCTACCCGATAATAATGGGGAAACTAAGACCGAACAAGAAACTAAGGCATGTGTTACAGAAGTGGTTGGTACTCCAGGCGATACATTCGGGCATACGGAAAACTAAATTTTATGTATATAATATACAAGTTACATAGGTAGATGATGAACAAAGAGATAGTCTAAATGATTGTATGAACGAGTTGGTTTCTGTGTTGGGAGATATTTTTTATATATAATAACTTAATAATATTCTTGTGTCGGGACAGTTAATATTATATTGTTAATAAATATAATTCACAACTAATGATACCACTGCATACAGTGCTCTTCTCACATATCCACTATTTCCTTTCGGAAACTTCTTGAACTGGGTGTCTGATTAATTTTCCATTTAGCTAAGTTAACGAGCTATTTATTAATTAATTAATTAATTAATTTATTTATTTATTTATTTATTTATTTATTTATTTATTTATTTATTTATTTATTTATTTATTTATTTATTTATTTATTTATTTATTTATTTATTTATTTTCATTGTGCGAGTATGTCGTGTAGCAGGCTCTGACTCAATCTATATAATCATTAGAATAAAAATGAGAACATAAACACCACAAACACCGTCACTTCAACTAGCGTCGTTATACGCACAGTTTATAGTAAATGTGTGTAAATCTGTGTAAAGGGCTTCTAACGGATACAGCTTCGCACAATATACGTTTATTAAACCCATGCAACTATTGACATTTCGTTGATATTACTCAAATGATTGTAATGTTTATCAACGAACATAACGTGTTCGTGGAGTTGGTTAGTAGAAGTGACTCTCACAACTTTGCGTGACAAGCACTCTAGCCATGTGATATTGTTTTGCAGATCGTGCTTACCCATCGCTACATCTGAACTTTACCGGTATAACATTGTACACTGTGTACAGTTAATGGCGACACTATGGCCTGGAGGAAACGTGACAGCCTAAATCAAAAAAAGTGCAAGTGGTGTAGTCTTTGTAGTCTTTAATATAAGAGTCGTACGTGAAAACACGGTCTAACTATTACATTGTTAACAGAGACTAATCGAAATAATATATATATGTATCTTTTCTTTCCTGCATTGTGACGGACACAGTTGAAAAATGAGATGGCTCTACTCTAATCTCCCAAAAAGCCGTGGTATAACACCTGCACACTTATAGTCAGGTTCTAGTAAATTCCACGACTCAGATGAACTGAAATACCTTTTTGGCGTTCAAAATTGCACATAGAATAATATCAAATAGCACAAAGAATTGTGATATTTGCCAGGTATCTTATTTCGTGTTTTTCAACTGTGAAATTATACTTTCTGGAATTATGATCCTATTTATGAAGTTACATATAATTGAGGTTATATTAAAATCTAATTTGAAACATATTTCAAATTAAAACTTATTTCTTATGTTGCAGAAAAACAGATATCCTGGTATAGTACTTCCTTATGTGTGTATGTGCTCCCTGAAACTGTATGTAATTTGTTAAATACTTATTCTGTATTAAAACAGTCACGTTATTTTCGAACAGTTATTCGACACCTTGCACTCACAAGGACTAATAAAGTTATAAGTCATATAAATAAATAAATACTATATTTGAATATTAATGTTGGTACTTCGAGTTAGAATTATTCGTACTTTTGAAATTTACAACTTGCAGTGCAGTGATACTCTTATCATATCTCCTTTTGAAACTATATGTATGTATGGTGTGCTTGTATTTCAAACTGTTTTTTTTTTATTAAATATAATTTAAAAATAACCGAACTATTGATTATTTAATGAAAACTAGCGGCACGCTTAGTCAATAACTTTTGCAATAATGCTAATTCACCTGTGGCTAACTTTAAATCTATTCAGTTTTTGAAACTTTCACAAGTGAAATGATCCTATTTGATTATTCAAATTTAAATACTACATAAAGGATTGTTTTTATTTCTGTTAAATTCTGGCTTAGTGTATTTGTATTTCAGTGAGAAATAGTATATTTATTTGCAATAGTGTATGGTAAAAATCCCCGCAGACAGATAAGTTCAGCTAGACGTCTTCACCAAAAGCACCAACATATAGGTCACTCCGCGATTTATTCCGTTTAAAAGTTGTATATATATAGACTATATCTAATTATCTCTTAGCCCTAGTACGCTTGGTGATATCCCGCGGTATGTGTAAATAACAGAGACTGGATACCATCTATGTCATTCAATAAATAAATAATGTGTCTATGGAACAGTAATTTTACTAATGACAGCAGCCTGAAACATATTCAATATTCACACACAGGTGAACTTTCTATAATCAAAGAACGGTGACCGTCTGGGCAAATTAGACTGAGCGCCTAAAATATATTGATACACATTCATGAATTTGATGTTCGCTTTGAAGGTGAAGCGCTGCGCCGTGTTTCACGCGTACGTGACGTGGGCAACGTATACAGTGAAATAAAATATTTGTATACATTAAATTGGAACGCGCGCTGTGTTGTGACTGTAGAGCGCTTTATAAAAAAAAGTGGGCAATGGGGATACCTGATACAGGTAACAGAAAATAAAAAGGGCATTTTACGTTTTCACAGGAAATAAAATGAAAATTTCATTTACAAAAAATTGCGTACAAATTACGACATTTAATATGGAAAATGCTATATACGCTTACAAAAAATAAGATCTTTGTACAAATTACGGACGAATGAAATAGCTGATTACATTTAACACCTTGTCTCTGTCTCTGTCTACATTTTTTTATATATTTAAATTACATTATTAGACTCTAAACGAACAATTCGATAAACAGAATATCAATTACTGATGGGGACAAGGGCTCGTAAAAAATAAGAATTACTACATTGACAAAGGCTAACTTCAAAGAGTCACTCACGTGGTAGCTTTATCTGTCACTATAGATGAGCTGTTATGCAAATGAGCTGTTTAGTACCGATGTACAGTGTCTTAGAGAATAGAGGCTTTGACGATAACACTAGTACCTTCGTCTCTATCAGAATTGATCTCTGACATTGTAAAATCAGATGGCCCTATACTGCATTGTCTGGCAGCGATTAAGTAGATAAGATCGACTTCGACGTCGATTAATATAGGAACTGAAATACTAGAATGATTTTTGGCCCTTGGCTATTCATGCGATTTTCGTATGATTTCAATCTCCGTTGTGCTGATCACATTTCCATTTGTAGGGGTAGCAGAGACGGACAGGATCCGCCCTATTATATTGACAAATGCTTTTGGTCGAAGAACAAAACTAATCTAACTTTATACTCATATAATGTGATTGACATCTACATATGCACTCTTGTATTAGTTATAAAACTGTTATTAGTTTAGAATAGACGATTACACCAAAATTTAAATGTTTTTTGCGTTCACTTTGTTCCCTATAAATGCGTAATTTTAGCAGTCATGGAAGGGACGGACAGTGGGAAGGTAGATGACTAACCTAACGAACTAAGATGTAAATCCAGATGGGTTTATCCATCACATTCCAGTGATGAAATATTGATAAGATTGGGTTCGACGCGTCCATCAATTACTCTAAGTTTGCTACACTTATCCTATCACGTATGACTTGAGGATTTGTGTCTCATGTTTATTCTGTAGTTTTGTCATTGTACTTGTAGTTATAGTTTGCCAGTGTTTTCCAAGGGCAGCCAGCAACTAGATTCACTTGTACTTGTACTAGTAATAAATCGTAACTTATACTGAATACCGAAACACCCGTGTATTTTTGAATTTTTTTTCAACGCCCTCTATGTCGACCTGCATTTAGGACATGCTAAATATAGAAACGGTTTCATATTAGGCATATTGCTTATTACCAAACGCTTCAGCGTGGTATTAAGAATTTGTTTTCAGAGTTGGGTGATACCAAGGTGAGAAATGGTTGCACATATGGGGGTAATTCCAGGAATTGCAATAGAGAGGGTTCAGGCCAAAATACAATATATAGTGTTTTCATGTTTCGTCTGATATTTCTGTGGTATTCTGCTGCTGTAACTAATGCAACATTTGTTCTGAAATTCAGTGTATTGTGTGCACTCAAGGGTTATTCGTTTTTTGCTGAAAAAACCCTATTTTTTAATGGCAGATTCGAACTACGTTCATTCCCACTGGGAAATATGCATTGTCGCTTGAATGAGAGCTAATTAAACACATTTTCCAGACCGGCGAAAGAGTATGTAACAGCCAATTGTAACAGCCTATCACGTGATTTTACTCTGAATGTCAACATGGAAAGAGGCTATTCCATTTTACGCAGGAATAGTTGGGAGTAGAATATGTGAAGGATTGTATAAACAGAGATGTGTATACTGAAAAAGTAATATCTATCCTCCTTTTGCATCGCTGAGCATTTCTTTTTAGTATACTTGTTTAAAAATGCTAAATTTGAATGATTTGCGATGTTTTTTTTATTAAAACGCCTCTAATGGTTGAATCCCGGGTTTGAAGATGAATGTAACAGCACACAACGTGGTTCGTTTGAATACAATGGT